CAACCGGTCCAGTCCTCCACTGTCACGGTGTCCATCCTGCTGGAGGACGGGCTGCATGAACCCATCTTAGACCTTGAACAGAAAGTAGCTGAACCCAGCAGGAAAAATGGGAGAATCGCCCTTTATTTGATTCTCTCTCTGGCCTCGGTGTCTGTTCTGTCTCTGGTGACTTTTGTCATCTTAGCGGTGAAGTGCATCAGGAGCAGCAGTAGCAGCAGTAGTTGCTGCATGAGAAGGAGCGACTGTGATGATTACAAGAACCCCAACAGAAACCTGCAGATTCAGCTCAACACTGATGGACCCATAAAGTACGTGGAGGTGCTGGGAGGAGACATGATGTCTCAGAGTCAGTCCTTCAGGTCTTGTATGTCTCCAATGTCAGAGTACAGTGACTTCACTTTGATTAAGCCCAGCAGCACCACTGACTTTAAGGAGGTGATCAGTGTCCTGGATGCGTCTTTGCCTGACAGCACCTGGACCTTTGAGAGCCAGCAGGTGAGCTGAAAATAAATGGCTTCTGAATATTTTTTTTAGAATATGAAAGAATATTTTTAATTAAAATATTACATTTCCATTTAAGTTTACGGGACATATACACATTTTTTAACCTTAAATAATGAGGTCGGTTGTTTCATAATTTATGCAAGTAATTGCTCTACATATTTTTAAATTACTTTGCCTTTAATTTGTGTCTGTTGGATGATATATAAGTATAACACTGAGTTAATTTTTCAGGCGTTGTCACTATTTAATGTCCAGTAATAATAATTTTATAACTGGTGTAACGTTCACAAGCCCACTTTAAGCTTGTGGAGCGCTTTTTCCTGAATGTGAATTTTTGGACGCTTTGTTTCAGCACCATATATATGGACAGCTCCCATAAAGTAGAAATGCCACTTAAGTCGGATTTTATTTCCGATCTTGTTTTCATTTATTAATCTGTAGCATAAGACAATCCTCGTATCTATTCACTCTGCTTTGTTTGAGCAAAGTCTTGTGTCTGTAAAAGCGCTGCTCATGTGTTTTCCTATTGGACTGTGTCGATGGCTGCTGTCGGCCAATGAAACGCAGACGTGTACAAAGAGATCTAGTCCATCCCCCGTGCAGCTTCAGCACCGCATTCATGTTGCATTAAGCTGAATGAGACAAAGTGATGCTCTTCTTGGAAATCAGACGGAAGATTTCGAATAATTATTTTGCAGTGGATTATTGTGGGATACGCGTGTGTCATTGATGGTTTACAACAATGGATGGCAACTGTTCTTCTTTTGTTCACTTCACTGGGAATTAATTCTAACGCACCGGGGATGACAAAGAGACGAGGACAGGGACACTGGAGATGGCAGGCGCTCTGGTGGCATCTCTTCTTCCTCTTGTGGAGTATAACACGGGGACAGACTCGTTACAGTGTCCCAGAAGAACTAAAGCAGGGATCTGTGGTAGGAAATCTGGCTAAAGATCTTGGTCTGGCATTGTCTGATATTTCTGACCGTAAACTGCGTGTTGCCTCTGAGGTTGGTAAGCCGCAGTACTTCACTGTGGATACGGGGAAGGGCGAGCTGGTGGTGAATGACAGAATAGACAGAGAGACTCTATGTGGACAAAGCGCCAGCTGTGTATTGACTCTGCAGGTCCTCATTGATAAACCGTTACAACTGTACAAAGTGGAGGTTGAAATACAGGACATTAATGATAATTCTCCCATGTTTCCTTCTCAAGAAATCATAATAGAAATAGCAGAGTCGACAGCAGCAGGGGCACGTTTTCCTTTAGAGACTGCGCGCGACATCGACGTCGGAATAAATTCAGTGAGATCTTATACGTTAAGTAAAGACGACCTTTTTAGTTTGAAAATTAAAGATGTATCAGGAGGGAGAAAGATACCAGAACTCGTTTTATCAAAGTCGCTGGACAGAGAGAAAAAGGCTACACATCACCTTCAATTAACAGCTTTTGACGGCGGAAATCCAGTGAAATCTGGAATCTCACAGATAACAATAAATGTACTTGATAATAACGATAATTTTCCGGTATTTGAGAAAAACGTTTACAAAGTCTCTGTAAGCGAAAACAGTGCCCAAGGTGCGTCTATAATAAAACTAACCGCAAAAGACGTCGACGATGGCCCTAATGGGGAAGTCGAGTATTCATTTGGAGTTCACACACCAGATGTTGTTCAGTCTGTTTTTGATATTGATGCGATAACTGGAGAAATTAGTCTTAAAGGAACATTGGATTTTGAAACCAACGCAAATTTTGAAGTTGATATTAGCGCAAAAGACAAAGGAAATCCTAGAATGGAGGGACACTGTACTGTCCATATAGAAGTAATAGATATAAACGATAATGCCCCCGTTATAATCCTAACCTCTGAACCTAACCCAGTGCCAGAGGACGCACCGAACGGCACTGTAGTGGCTTTGATTAGTGCCCGAGACAGTGATTTTGGCGACAACGGTAAAGTGACGCTTCGTTTATCAAATGGTTTTCCGTTTAATCTCAAACCGTCATTTTCTGATAATTATGCATTGGTTATCAAGGGTGTTCTAGACCGAGAAAAAATGTCAGAATATAATATTGAAATCACAGCCACAGATTCAGGCTCTCCCCCACTGTCCAGTAAGACAATTATACAAATTAGTATCTCAGATGTCAATGACAATCCTCCTGTATTCTCTCAGTCCTCCTATAATGTGTATTTAAAAGAGAATGGAGTACCAGGATCTATACTGTACTCAGTATCAGCCTCTGACCTGGATTCTGGTGAAAACGCTAAAATCTCCTACTCTATACTAGACTCTAAAGTGCAGGACGTTTCTGTGTCATCGTATGTTTACATTAACTCAGATAACGGCAGCATCTACAGCATGCACTCGTTCGACTATGAGAAACTGAAGGTGTTTCAGATTCAGGTTCAGGCTAAAGATCAGGGCTCTCCGTCTCTGAGCAGCAACACCACTGTCCATGTCTTTATCCTGGACCAGAACGACAACGCCCCCTCTGTTATTTACCCCTCCTCTGCTGCCCTGGGCTCCCTCTCTCACCAGAGGATGCCCCGCTCCGCCAAAGCGGGTCACCTGGTCACTAAGGTGACAGCTGTGGACGCTGACTCGGGCCATAACGCCTGGATCTCCTACAAACTGGCAGAGGCCACAGACGCGTCTCTGTTCACCGTCAACCAGTTCACTGGAGAGGTGAGGACTAAACGTGCTGTGTACGAGCAGGACGAATCCTCTCAGAGGCTGCTGATAGAGATCAGAGACGATGGACAACCGGTCCAGTCCTCCACTGTCACGGTGTCCATCCTGCTGGAGGACGGGCTGCATGAACCCATCTTAGACCTTGAACAGAAAGTAGCTGAACCCAGCAGGAAAAATGGGAGAATCGCCCTTTATTTGATTCTCTCTCTGGCCTCGGTGTCTGTTCTGTCTCTGGTGACTTTTGTCATCTTAGCGGTGAAGTGCATCAGGAGCAGCAGTAGCAGCAGTAGTTGCTGCATGAGAAGGAGCGACTGTGATGATTACAAGAACCCCAACAGAAACCTGCAGATTCAGCTCAACACTGATGGACCCATAAAGTACGTGGAGGTGCTGGGAGGAGACATGATGTCTCAGAGTCAGTCCTTCAGGTCTTGTATGTCTCCAATGTCAGAGTACAGTGACTTCACTTTGATTAAGCCCAGCAGCACCACTGACTTTAAGGAGGTGATCAGTGTCCTGGATGCGTCTTTACCTGACAGCACCTGGACCTTTGAGAGCCAGCAGGTGAGATGATGAGAAGACGACAAACTCTATCTATATAATTACAGTGGTAATATTTGATTATTAGCCAATTAATTTCCAGTCCTAACACCAACAAATGTGATGCATTTATTCATAAAAATATCTTTTGAGTGATTACATATATATATTTATATTTTTAAGGCAATTTCATTTATTCATAATTATTAATTCATTATTATCTTAATATATAAATGTTAGAACAATAGGGCATATATTTTGTTTCTACTTTTCATTAACTGCCTACAATATCTTTAAATTTTATCAAGCACGTTTTCTTACAAGTTTATGTATTTTTGATTAATTTGACTGTCGAGTTTGTTTCCATCGTTGTTCTGTTGCTACACTGCCCTCTCCTGGCCATTTCTGTTGTGTCGCCTGAGTAGTATACAGCCTTCAGTGGGCTGGAATTCAATAATCTCTTTCCAATAAATTCAAGGTATTTTTAGTAGAACTGGTTCTTTAAGAATATAATAATAATTGACTTTTTGATAAGGTTTTTTTTCTTATCAAAAAGAAGATTCAGATCAAAGATGATATGAATCTATGAATGAAGAGTTTGATCGAACGAAAATGCTGCCATGGGATTGGACAGCCTGCAGACTTTGTTGCTTGTGATTCGTTACTTGAGTGGGCGCTCTACACCAATAGCATGGAGCACTGTACAAAGAGATCTACTGCGCCCCCACTCACTGTGACCGTGGTAACACCCACACTCGTGAAGCTGGAGAAGAGATGCGCTTCGGGGATGTTGTCCGAATATTATTTATTTTATCATCCATTCTTTGATGATCTTCTCATATTGAAAAATCACCCAGGGAATGGTTTTGGGATGTATTATATTGCTAAAGAATTCTTCGATGGGAATTGTCTGATGCCTGTTTTAACGGCATAAAAATGACAAAGACAATGGGATGCAGAGAGTGGAGATGGCAGGCGCTTTGGTGGATGTATTTCCTTTTCATGTGGAGTAAAACGCATGGACAGACTCGGTACAGCATCCCGGAGGAGCTCAAACGGGGCTTTGTGGTAGGAAATTTAGCCAAAGATCTTGGTTTGGGACTGTCTGATATTTTTGACCGTAAGCTGCGTGTTGATTCTGAGGCTGGTACGCAGTTTTTCACCGTGGATGCTGCTAAGGGCGACCTGGTGGTAAACGACAGAATAGACAGAGAGGCTCTATGTGGACAAAGCAGCAGCTGTTTGTTGCCTCTGCAGGTCGTAACAGAGAATCCTTTACAACTACACCGGATAGAAGTAGAAATTAAGGATATAAATGACAATTCTCCTGTTTTCTTAACAGAGGAGCGGGCTTTAAAAATTGCGGAATCGACCGCGACAGGAACGCGCTTTCCCTTAGAAGCAGCACAGGATCTGGATGTTGGTAGCAATTCATTAAAATCTTATACTTTAAGTAAAGACGACTGTTTTAGTTTAAGAATAAAGGAGCTGCCTGGAAACAGAAAGGTGCCCGAATTGGTACTAGAGAAACCGCTTGACAGAGAAAAACAGAGTGTGCATCAGTTACTCCTGACGGCTCTAGACGGAGGTAATCCTGTCAAAAGCGGAACCAGAAAAATAATAGTAACGGTTCTTGACAACAATGACAACGTTCCTCTATTTAAAAAGCCGTCGTATAACGTCACTGTGCCTGAAAATAGCGTTGCTGGTTCGGTGGTTGTAAGAGTTGAAGCCACAGACGCAGATGAAGGTGTTAATGCAGAGGTCGAATACGCGTTTGCTGAACACACAGCGCCGTCACTGTTGTCTATTTTTCATTTACAGCCCGATACGGGGGAGATCTCCATTGTGGGTCCATTGAATTTTGAAAACAACGCAATACACAATTTAGACATCACTGCAAAAGATAAAGGGGTCCCTCAGATGGAGGGGCATTGTCGTGTGCAAGTATCAGTAATAGACATTAACGACAATGCTCCAGAGATAGTTCTGACGTCTAATCCTAATCCGGTTCGCGAAGACGCACCTAGAGGCACAGTAGTAGCTCTAATCAGAGCACGGGACCTTGACTCCGGTGATAATGCAAAAGTGACGTTAAAACTACCCGCGGGTTCTCCCTTTAGCTTGAAACCGTCATTTTCCAACAACTATGCACTAATAACAAGCAGTACATTAGACAGAGAGATTTCCTCACAGTATAACGTTGAAATAACAGCCACTGATTCAGGCTCTCCTCCTCTGTCCAGTAAGAAAACTATACCTGTCAGCATCACCGATGTCAACGACAATCCTCCTGTATTCTCTCAGTCCTCCTATAATGTGTATTTAAAAGAGAATGGAGTACCAGGATCTATACTGTACTCAGTATCAGCCTCTGACCTGGACTCTGGTGAAAACGCTAAAATCTCCTACTCTATACTAGACTCTAAAGTTCAGGACGTTTCTGTATCATCGTATGTTTACATCAACTCAGATAACGGCAGCATCTACAGCATGCACTCGTTCGACTATGAGAAACTGAAGGTGTTTCAGATTCAGGTTCAGGCTAAAGATCAGGGCTCTCCGTCTCTGAGCAGCAACACCACTGTCCATGTCTTTATCCTGGACCAGAACGACAACGCCCCCTCTGTTATTTACCCCTCCTCTGCTGCCCTGGGCTCCCTCTCTCACCAGAGGATGCCCCGCTCCGCCAAAGCGGGTCACCTGGTCACTAAGGTGACAGCTGTGGACGCTGACTCGGGCCATAACGCCTGGATCTCCTACAAACTGGCAGAGGCCACAGACGCGTCTCTGTTCACCGTCAACCAGTTCACTGGAGAGGTGAGGACTAAACGTGCTGTGTACGAGCAGGACGAATCCTCTCAGAGGCTGCTGATAGAGATCAGAGACGATGGACAACCGGTCCAGTCCTCCACTGTCACGGTGTCCATCCTGCTGGAGGACGGGCTGCATGAACCCATCTTAGACCTTGAACAGAAAGTAGCTGAACCCAGCAGGAAAAATGGGAGAATCGCCCTTTATTTGATTCTCTCTCTGGCCTCGGTGTCTGTTCTGTCTCTGGTGACTTTTGTCATCTTAGCGGTGAAGTGCATCAGGAGCAGCAGTAGCAGCAGTAGTTGCTGCATGAGAAGGAGCGACTGTGATGATTACAAGAACCCCAACAGAAACCTGCAGATTCAGCTCAACACTGATGGACCCATAAAGTACGTGGAGGTGCTGGGAGGAGACATGATGTCTCAGAGTCAGTCCTTCAGGTCCTGTATGTCTCCAATGTCAGAGTACAGTGACTTCACTTTGATTAAGCCCAGCAGCACCACTGACTTTAAGGAGGTGATCAGTGTCCTGGATGCGTCTTTACCTGACAGCACCTGGACCTTTGAGAGCCAGCAGGTGAGATGATGACATGTGACTTGTCACGTATTCAAAACGTGCTAGATTTGAGTTGTAATTACAAGGTATTTTGGTTTGTCCCTATCTGACAAAGCTCTGTTTCAGCACCACATATGTGGACAGCGACAATGTATTTTAGTCACTTTGTTTGCTGATTAATACTGTTGTGAACAGGTTTAATTTACACTTCTAACGTTTAAGTTGATTTATTTCATTCGTTAATTGTAATTAGACTATTTGCATTTTGTAGCTGATTGCTTTTTAACAGAAGTGTTAAAATAAAAAAGGGTTATAATGAGGATAAAATTAAGAGTTCACACATGCTGAGTTAAAATCAAGTTCTGATGACCAATGCTTATTTTATTTTATTTTATTTTATTTTATTTTATTTTATTTTATTTTTTATTCGCCCTTTTCCCCCTTTCACTATTATAGAGCACATGCTGCACCTATCAGTGAATGCACTGAGCAGGGCTTTGCTCATTGGATGTGAGGGATGAGTGCTGTGCACCAATGAAATTCAGAACTGTACAAAGAGATCTTCTCCCTCCCCCACACAGCTTCAGCACTGAAATCAGAATACTCGGGATCGGGGAGAGAGTACATGTTTAGTATATAGAGAATTTGATTCAGTAAATTCTTCCACGGACAGGTGCATTGTGAATGGAATATGTCATGCTCTTGGAATTGGAATTCTGACTATATGTTCTCTGATTGTGGGGATTGAAGATGATGTGATTTTCTGAATCTGGAATGACAAAGACAATGGGATACAGTGACTGGCGATGGCAGGCGCTGTGGTGGCATCATTTCTTTCTCTTGTGGAGTATAACACACGGACAGACTCGGTACAGCATTCCAGAGGAGCTGAAACGAGGCTCGGTGGTAGGAAATTTAGCCAAAGATCTTGGTCTAGGACTGTCTGACATTTTTGACCGTAAGCTGCGTGTCGCCTCTGAGTCTGATGAGCAGTTTTTCACTGTGGATGCGGGGAAGGGCGAGCTGGTGGTGAATGACAGAATAGACAGAGAGGCTCTATGTGGACAAAGTACCAGCTGCGTGTTACCTCTGCAAGTGGTTGTTGAGGAACCACTGCAGCTGCATCGCATTGAAGTAGAAATTAAGGATATAAACGATAATTCTCCAGGTTTTCTATCAAACGAGTTATCGTTAAAAATAGCAGAATCAGCGGCTGTTGGTACCCGCTTCCCTCTGGAAAGCGCAACAGACCCCGACGTTGGCACCAATTCCCTGAAATTATATTCTCTCAGTAAAAATGACTGTTTTTCTCTTAAAATCAAGGAGATGGAGGGGGGTAAGACCGTCCCAGAACTCGTTTTAGAAAAGCCTCTAGACAGAGAGAAGAAGGCGGTTCACAAGATATTACTGACCGCACTGGACGGAGGGAATCCAGCCAGGTCTGGGACATCACAAATAATCATCACAGTGTTAGACATAAATGATAACTTCCCAGTGTTCGAACGAAATAATTATAAAGTAACACTGGGTGAAAAAAGCGTGAAGGGTGCTGTTGTTTTAAAGCCAAAAGCAACGGATGCAGATGAAGGTTTAAATGGCCAAATCGAATTTTTATTCGGTTCCCGGACACCTGATTTTGTGCTGTCAATGTTTGATATTGATGCTTTAACAGGCGAGATTAGTTTGAAAGGCGAGTTAGACTACGAAACAGTGAAGTCGTATGATATTGACGTTACTGCTAAAGATAAAGGCAGTCCTGAGATGGAGGGCCACTGCCGAGTGCAGGTTGATGTTGTTGATTTTAACGATAACGCTCCTGAGATTGTCCTCACGTCTCAACCAAAGCCAGTGCGCGAAGACGCACCAAATGGCACCGTAGTTGCGTTAATAAGTGCGCGTGATTTTGACTCTGGGGAAAACGGCAAAGTAACCTTACAGATTTCCAAAGGATCGCCGTTTACTCTGAAGCCGTCGTTTTCTAATAATTACGCTCTGGTGACGAGCGGCCGTTTAAACAGGGAGAATTACTCACAGTATAACGTTGAAATCACAGCCACTGATTCAGGCTCTCCTCCTCTGTCCAGTAAGAAAACTATACCTGTCAGCATCACCGATGTCAATGACAATCCTCCTGTATTCTCTCAGTCCTCCTATAATGTGTATTTAAAAGAGAATGGAGTACCAGGATCTATACTGTACTCAGTATCAGCCTCTGACCTGGACTCTGGTGAAAACGCTAAAATCTCCTACTCTATACTAGACTCTAAAGTGCAGGACGTTTCTGTGTCATCGTATGTTTACATTAACTCAGATAACGGCAGCATCTACAGCATGCACTCGTTCGACTATGAGAAACTGAAGGTGTTTCAGATTCAGGTTCAGGCTAAAGATCAGGGCTCTCCGTCTCTGAGCAGCAACACCACTGTCCATGTCTTTATCCTGGACCAGAACGACAACGCCCCCTCTGTTATTTACCCCTCCTCTGCTGCCCTGGGCTCCCTCTCTCACCAGAGGATGCCCCGCTCCGCCAAAGCGGGTCACCTGGTCACTAAGGTGACAGCTGTGGACGCTGACTCGGGCCATAACGCCTGGATCTCCTACAAACTGGCAGAGGCCACAGACGCGTCTCTGTTCACCGTCAACCAGTTCACTGGAGAGGTGAGGACTAAACGTGCTGTGTACGAGCAGGACGAATCCTCTCAGAGGCTGCTGATAGAGATCAGAGACGATGGACAACCGGTCCAGTCCTCCACTGTCACGGTGTCCATCCTGCTGGAGGACGGGCTGCATGAACCCATCTTAGACCTTGAACAGAAAGTAGCTGAACCCAGCAGGAAAAATGGGAGAATCGCCCTTTATTTGATTCTCTCTCTGGCCTCGGTGTCTGTTCTGTCTCTGGTGACTTTTGTCATCTTAGCGGTGAAGTGCATCAGGAGCAGCAGTAGCAGCAGTAGTTGCTGCATGAGAAGGAGCGACTGTGATGATTACAAGAACCCCAACAGAAACCTGCAGATTCAGCTCAACACTGATGGACCCATAAAGTACGTGGAGGTGCTGGGAGGAGACATGATGTCTCAGAGTCAGTCCTTCAGGTCTTGTATGTCTCCAATGTCAGAGTACAGTGACTTCACTTTGATTAAGCCCAGCAGCACCACTGACTTTAAGGAGGTGATCAGTGTCCTGGATGCGTCATTGCCTGACAGCACCTGGACCTTTGAGAGCCAGCAGGTGAGCCTGGGGTTGCATCTCATTTTGTTTAAATTTGCTCCACTGATTGCAGATTATTTTTTCTCAGTTTTTCTTTTCTTTTCTTTTGCAACTTTGTATTTTTTCTCAGTTTTTCTTTTCTTTTGCAACTTTTGCAGCAAATGTGCTCTAATTTTGAAAAGTAATTTCGACAGCAAAATGTTTTATTGTTACATTTTCAGTTGGTGGTTTATGATTTATTCAGTTGTAATTTTATTGTTTGAAAGACTGTTTTTGATGATGGTTAGGCTTTTAAAACAGTTTGGACTATACAAGCACTACTACTATTCTACATTTTATACAGTATATTAATATGTACTTCTACTACAAGATGTCTACGTGGGAAAACATAAATACTGTATATTTACATAAGACAGGGAAATGGACAAGAATATCACTTTTGAGACTATAGCGCTGCCTGCAGGGCACACATTGAAGGTTCTTTTTACCCGCAGGCTGTACACAAATACGGTAAATAACGGAAAACTGCAGATAATTCCACATACAGGTAAACACTTTTTAATTTACATTTAGTCAAAAATAACCAAATAATGCAAACTCATATACAAACAGTCACTGTGTTCTAAATCATATCAGGTAAAATAATACCGTATTTCTTACATTTTTCATTTATTAAAATAAATGAAAGTGATACTATAGTACAAAAGAAGCAGGTTTAATTTAAAAGTTTCATTTATGAAGACTTCTTGGGGAATAAATCGCCATGTATAGTAGGTTTCAGTTATCAAAATTTTACATAACCTGTACAAGTACTTATCTTAACGTGGGCTGGTAAAACAGTGGCGAAAAAAGACTGCGAACTCTGCCCCCTTGTGGATAACTGTGATACCGTCATAAAAAACTGGCAATCTCACCGAGAAAATCCTTAAAAGTACAACTTCCCTTGTGTTCACCTACTCACGTGTTTGTTCAAGTAAAGCTTTGTCTCTTTCACCTCATTTTTGTAAATCTATTCAAAAGGGCAATTCCTAAAACTTTTCAGACAAATGCCATATGTGTGAGTGTGGAGTGGGTGTGTGAAAGGGAGAGAGCGAGAGCGAGTGAGAGAGAGAGTGTGTATGAGTGTGAGCAGCACTGGTACGGCCCTGTCTTCCAATGAGCGAAGAGGCCACCCGGGCTTCACCCCGCCCATGACAGGAGTGAGGCGGAGGAGACGGGGCTGAGGGTGAGTGTAGAGACTTGTGGAAAACTCTTTTTTTCCTCCCTGTTTTCGCTTTCTAGTCCTCCGCCATGATCACATCAAAACTTCCCATCGCCCTCTTTTTAAAACGAAAATGTTTTCCACTGCGCCTAAAAGCCACATGTTGAACTATGGATACGTTACGGTGAACGAAGGAGTTAGAAACTTTCCCATTCCCTGATCCTGGGAGCGCAGCACAATGGACTCCAGGCAGAGGACGCGATCCAGAGGAGGGAGGCTGTGGAGGATTTGCTTTTATTTATCTTGGCTCACCACTGCGTCGGCTCAACTCAGCTATTCCGTATCGGAAGAACTAAGCCCGGGTTCGGTTGTTGGAAATATCGCTAAAGATTTGGGTCTTACTGCTCAGAGGATCGAGCAGAGGAGGTTACGGGTGGTCTCCGAATCCACCACTCAGTACTTTGAGATAAAAGAGACGACGGGGGATTTGGTGATGAAACAAAGTATTGATAGGGAGCAAATGTGCGAACTGAGTTCAACATGTTCACTACATCTGCAAATACTCATGGAGAATCCTTTGGAAATCCATCGTGTGGTGATGGACATTCTGGATGTGAATGACAACGCACCGCAGTTTTCAACCAGCAACATTTCTCTGGACATATCTGAGGCTGCTGCGCCCG